ACTGTGCTTTTAGAAGCGACCCTGCAGTTTTCACATTCACACGTCTCATTAGTTGTTTCAGGTGTATTAGTCTTACTTCTCCGCCCAATGAAGTGCTCTAAGGTGCTTTAGGCTCAGGGGCAGTGGAAGAGTGCAGTGGTAGTGTGTCCCTGGCGCATGTGGACAACAATTTAAAAAATGAAAAATTTCCCTCCACTTCTGACCTAATAATTTAACTTTTAAGACTTTATTGTGAAGAAATAGTCATATAGATAGGCAGATGTACATTACAGAATGTGAGTTTCAAGGTCCACAGTTCTGTATTTAAATTTAAAAATTAGAAATAGGGGTTAGTTTACTAATCAGAAAAAGTTGAAGGTTGAAGTGACTCTGAATGGCAGAAGCAAATAGCGTAAGGGGTCAGTGTTGTCTAAGCTGTTGCGCACATTCTTGCCACCAGACCCGGGGCGTGTCCATTCCTGGGTCCAGCAGGGTCTCTGAAATTCAGAGCCTGTCCATCTCTACAATGAAAGTTTCAGTAACAATGACCTTCAGGGCATTGAACGGGCAGTGAAACAGAACTAGTTATGAACTGTCTTTCTTGTAGCATACTAGAAATTGACATAGATTTGTTGTTATCATTTATTAAAAAATAAAATGCAGAGAAAGAAAATCCCAAAAACAAAAATACATAATACGTACTTGTGAAGATCCTCAAGTGTAACGAGTCCTTCCTCCATATTTTTGATGTCTACTTGTCTTTGCACTAGGAAATTTTCTTTTTGCGTAATAAATGCCAGTTGTCTCTGGTTTCTACAAGAAAACAAAGTTAGTTGCTGAAAGTTGAAATGATCACTTTTATTATTCTGTGATATTAGAGATCAAACCCTGTAGCTTGCACACCATGAGCAGCAGAGAACTGTTTTTTAATTCTCCAGTGTGAGGAAATATGCAACCACAAATCATTTTTAAAATAGTGTGGACAGTTTAAGCCATGAGTGATTTCACAAATATATAGTCAAAATGTAGAGATAGTGTTTTTGCTGGCAGTAGCTAAATATATGTAAACTCACACATAGGATGCCCCTAAAATTTATAACAATGCCCAAGCCACTGAAAGAACATCAACCACGATAGGAAGCACCAAAGAGCAGAGGCACATGCCACCTCTTAGAGGGTGTGACTTGCCAGTATGCTTAGTAATCCCAGCCTGTTCTGCAAGAGACAAAGTCAGTCAGAACATCTGAGCCCTAGTGCTGCCTCCTAGCACCGTGATCCCCTGTGGATAAGCCTCCATTTATCCACATATATAAGGGGACCACACTGCCTACCTCACCAGATGAAAGGGTTGGATAAGTGCTTCACCCAGTGCCTGGACTGATGAGACATTAAAAAAAAATAGTTGATACTTTTTGTCTCAACTTCTAGGTGACAATAATAAGGCTCAATGAAGTTTGTAGTTCAAATGCCCATGACGTCATAGCAACTTGTGTGTGACAGAAAGCATTTTACCTAATGGCTCATCTTCAGAACGCCCATGGGCAGTGTTGTGCTCCACCACCAGCATTTACGTTAAACCCTAACCCACAGGCGATGGGGAGACAAGGGTACCAGAAAAGGGAAGAGATGTGGCACATGAGGGGCAATGTTTCGGCATCATTGGAACAATAATGAAGACGGCTCTCTGGAAAGTAACTGGGTATGACTGCGGTCATGATGGTGGGCCCTCGGGATGGAACTGACGTGCCTACAAGCAGAGACACCAAAAACCCTCTCCCGTCATGCGAGGAGAGATAGAGGCAGAGACGACAGAGAGACTCTCTGCAGCTCAGGAAGCGATCCTTACTGGAACCTGATTTTCTGTCTTCGTTAACTTTTCTCGTTGCTGAGACAAGATACCCAACACCCAAAGCTAAAGGAGGAAAGGGTTATTTCAGGTCACAGCTCGTGGAGGTCTCTGCCAGCGATCAGCTGGCTCCGAGGCACGATGGCCCGGCAGAGAACAGGTCATTCTGCACACAAGGTAACAAAGGCAACCGAAGGGCTTTCCCAGCATCTGTCTGCCCCTTTGATCTTATCCAGCTACTTAGGGCAGGGAGCACTCACACGTGGACCCGGGCACCCTTGAGTCTGGTAGTGCACCATGAGTCAATCCCAGTCACACTCTAGAGCCTGCCACCTCTGAAAAAGCCCACCTGTGATGGCATGAGGCTTTGGGGGCACGAGCCATGACACGCTTCCAGCCTCTATAATACTTTTCCAGCCTCCTTAACAGTGTAACAATAAAGTTCTGCAGCTTAAGCAGCCAGCCTGTAGAATTTCATTATGGCAGCCACATAGGATCAGACAACATTTCACGAAGAGAGACATGGCGGCAACGCCTCTAATCCAGCGCTATGAGAGGCTGAGGCAGGAGGGCTGAAAGTTGAAGCCCAGGCTCGGGTATTTAGGGATTTAGTGAAACCTTCCCTCAAAATAAAAAAATAAAATGGAAACTGAGGATGTAGCCTAATGTGACAGTCCAATGTTCAATTCCCAGTTCTGAAAAAAGTATGGCAACATAATTTTTAGTGTTCTAGTTATTGGTCATCAAACCAGTTTAGGATTCCAACAGCTAACTAATTTAGGGATCTGGGGAAGGTTTCTGCTTTCCCAGAAGCAAAGAATACTGAAGAATACTACCAGTCTCATTTTCTGAATGCTGCATATATTGGACAAGATAGAATGATTGCAAACATTTGCTGTACCTTAAACGCCCATAACTATGGCATGTTAATTCACAAGGGAAGCAAGGGTAGAAACATACTCATCATAGAGCTTCCGTTTCTGCAAAAAAACCTGATCTTCCTCACTTAGCACAATCCTATACTGTCGGAAAATCGCGTTCACTTGGTCTTGTAGCTCCTTGTTCTCTAGATGAACCTTCTGTATCTTTTCAACCAGCTAGAGGAAAAACAAAGAAGTCAAGTGAGAAGACTTGCTTCGTGATTCCTTGGAAGGCACCAACACCAGGGGAGCATTGTTCTAGAACATCAACAATATTGCTTAGCACAGGATGAGCATGTTGTAAATGGTGTATGGTTTAATATGTAATTGTACATCTTGGGGCCACTTATAGAAATGTAGTAAACCTGACGTAAAACCATAAAGTAACCCATATGGAACAGGAAATGGCACTAACAAAATTGACAATTCAGCATCATCGGTGTGCCCTTTTCCCACAACATAAACTACACTAGGGAAAAGAAAATGTATCATCTGCAAAACTCTTGCTCAAAATCTCTTTGAGGAAGGCATTGTGCTGGCTTATTCTTAAGTATTGTTGATTGTCTGTATTGGTAGGTTTTGTGTCTGAGGATTGAATCAACAACACACAGAAAATATCTGGGGGGGGGGATGTTCCAGAAAATTTGAATAAGCAAAATTTGAATTTGCCATGCACTAAGCACTAGGAGAATGGAATGTACTTAAATGAAGTGATGTGTAGGCATTATATAAGGCAGTCAAAATTAAATGTAAGGGGCCAGGGAGATGGCTCAGTAGAATGAGCGCTTCCTTGGCAAGTGCAAGGGCCTGAGTTCAATCCTCGGTTCTGTCAAAAATAAATAAATAAATAAATTAATTAATAAAATGTAATTTAGAGACGCAGAGGACAGGCTCAGAATGTGAGTGAGACCACCTGGGGCCGCCGGATCCTGAATAGACCCAAAGCGCAGACCCGGCATGGAACCCTTCAGCAGAATTTCCTGCAAAGAGGCTAGAGGCAAGACCCACCCAGCTGATTCAGGAGCAGAACATCTTGCCAGAGAGACACAAAGGGTTTAACTCTAACGGCTTCAGCAGAAAGAAGTGGAGCACAGCAGCCAGATCCAAGCAACACCACCCGGAGGAATCGGAACTTCATAGATCCAGACCTGGTGCTAAGGTAATAACTCTATCTAAGCTTTACACCAAAGGTCAGACAGAAGACAGTGGTATACAAAATGACAAAGAGAAGGAACAAAATGCAGTCTCAGGCCAGGAGTCCACCCAGTACAATTGCCAAAGACACTAGCATAGAGGAAACTGGAAATCACACACCTGATATCTCTGAAATAATAGCGTTGGAGGTAAAGAAACAAACGCAGAAAGGTATAGAAGAAATGAGATCAAAATAATTTCTGAATTAAAAAATGTAGTAATAACTATAATCAAAGAAGTACTAAGTGCTTCTAAAGAATACACTGATAAAAACATAAAGCAGAATATAAAAATAATGGAACCCCTGAATAAGCAATATAGGAAAGAAATAGAATGTATGAAACAGATTCAAAGTGATATACAGGAAATTTAAACCTCAATCACAAGCTGGCAAAAATGTGAGTGAAAGTGAAAATAGACGTTCTGACCTTAAAGACACCATTGCAGCTAGTGAAAAAGTAAGAAAAGATCTCTTAAAAACA